CAGGGAGCCCGATGCGGGACTCGATCCAGGGACTCCAGGATCATGACCTGAGCCGAAGGCAGTCGCTTAACCAACTGAGCCACCCAGGTGCCCATGTCTTAGTATTATTCTGAAAATCATTTTTGATCTTGTTTTGTAAGGGTTTTGGAATCCTGAAAGAGTCTTCAGACAATATTTTAAGAACTGTTGGTCTAGGACGATAACTGGAAAGAACTGAGATTATTTTTTCTAAGAGGTTGGGCAAATTGTTCAGTATCCCATGCTCACAAGTTAGTTTTTTTACCTTTTTTTTTTGCAAGGGACTCAACTTGTGGCTGGTGGCTTGATATCAGCCTGTTGATATCTTATTTGTAGGAATTTGAATGCCTAAATTTAAGGGAGAGTAGCCAGGAAGGGCCCACTAGGCCCTGATGTCTCAAACAGACAACTGCCCACATTTATATTACCTGCCTGATCCCTGAAGGTGTTTGACGTCATGCCCTTGCTGGGGTACAGTTTTGTTTAAGATGAACCAGGCCAGGTGTTAGGCTCTTAGCATGTTGTATGAAGAGCCTCAGACCTGGTGTGTGAGTAAGGAAACAATGTGAAGGATGTGTGTGGGTAAACATAATTTAGAGCATACTTTAAAAATTTCTGTGGATGGGAGGAATGAGAGGCAGGGATAGAGAAAAAGGAAGAAGGAAAGAGGTGGATGGATACCACAGCACACCCAGCTTATTCTGAGCTAGGAAATTGGGTAAAAGAGGAATCTTTAAGGAAAATAATTTGTCATTCTGTAGCCAATATTTATTCTTTGCATTTTTGCCAACTCAGGGAAGGGTCTAAATAAAACCTGAAGCCATTTAATAGGGCACCCACCTGGATTATTTATTCAACATTTGGCTGTGTCCTGTGCGATGAGCGTAATGCTATATGCTTGTGACTCAGTGGTGAGCAAAATGGACCCAGTTCCTGCCTTCATGGAGCTCATGTCTAGACGGACGTTAATCAACAGAGATGATTATTAGATTGTGAGAAGCATGTTGAGAGCAAGGATCTAGGTCAGAGGGTGCTGAGCTCATGTAGTTAGGAACCATTTGACCTGGGAGCATAACTAAGGAGATGAAGAATATCTGTTATAATGAAGGCTGTGATGACAGTGGACTATTTGCATATCCAGTGATCTAAGTAGGTATGTAGTACAGACCTATTTTACAGACAGGAAGCTGGTGCTCAGGTAGTTTAGGAAATGGTCTGAGGCCACACTGATAGTGATAGGAATAGGATTTGAGCAGTGATCTGTGGGCCCACTGTGTGTTTAAGCACCATGTAATACTGCCAAGCCCTGTCCTCTGTTGGGGAGAGTTAGAAGTCAAGTAGGTTGTTTTTGTTTTCTTACAGTTTACAAAGAACGTTTTCACATTAAGTATGAGACATTGACCAAGCACTTGCAAAGAACTACATTGATCCTCTGGATCACTGCTTCACAAGCTTTACTGTGTGTTAGAGTCTCAGGTTAGAATCCCCTGGGGATCTTGCTAAAAGGCAGTTTCTGAGTAAGTAGGTCTTGGATTGGTCCTGAGGTTCTGCATTTCTGACCAGCTCCCAGGCTGATAATGCTGGTCTGTGGATCCCTTTTTTTTTTTTTTAAAGATTTTATTTATTTATTAGAGAGAGAGAGATCACAAGTAGGTAGACAGGCAGGCAGAGGGAGAAGCAGGCTCCCTGCTGAGCACAGAGTCCGATGTGGGGCTCGATCCCAGGACCCTGGGATCATGACCTGAGCTGAAGGCAGATGCTTAACCATCTGAGCCATCTGGGCATCCCTGTGGATCCCTTTTTGAAATCAAGTTTCCAGAGCCAATTTTCCTTTTCCACATTCGGTTACTTCATGATGCGAATGTTGATCCCAGTCACTTTAAGCTTTGGAGAGGGAGAACTGAGGTGGGTGCAGATTGGTGGTGGCTGTTTAGAACACTTTGTCAGTTAGGGTTGCTTGTTAATCAGCAGCAGAGAAGGGCTCTGGCTAATTTAAGGTAAGAAAGGGTTATAGAATTGAAGGCAAGACAGAAGAGCCCGGTAGCCCTAGAGGGTCATGGTAGTAGAAACTGCTTGAACATCTGTCCTGGGCACCATCACTGGGCCACATGGAAGAGCTCCATTCTTTACTCCATGGGGCACTAGGAGAGAAAGTCTGGGGCAAGCTTAGGTCTGCTCCTTGCACCTTGACTGCTGAATAGTGATGAGGAATCTTGGGGACTGGGCTTTCACAGTGGGAGGATGGAGCACCCGGATTTATTGACCCATCAGTGCTGCTTAGGAGGGAGAGGTAACCCTAGCAGGAAGCGACAGTGCAGTTTGGAAAGGGAGTGGCAGCTGGGAGGTGATTACGTGACTGTGTTCAGTGTGAGTTTCTGAAGCCGCCCCCAGTTAGCAGTGCAAACTCCCTGTGTTTAGCAGGCAGGCAGATTGAGGAAAGAAAAGAGATAGTATTTACTGAGCCTTGACTTGTGCATTCCTATTTCATTTTTGTAATGACCCTAAGAGATAGAGGTAGAAGTATTATTTCTCTTTGTATTTGAGGAAATTGAGTCTTAGGCTTAGATAACTTGCTTAAAGTCAGACTGTTAGTAAGTGGAAAAGCTGCAAAGTGTGTATTTTGTAATACAACAGAAGTTGGCAGAAATTTCTGCTTTTTGGGGTAAAAGGTGGCTTTCAGTGAGCTGATCATTTTAAGGAGTGGGGGAAGTTGGGGAGAACGTGTGTGGATGCAGAGAGCGGAGGTGCTTGGGGATTCAAGATCTCGGAGGTAGAATGCTCTCAAGAACAAATTGCTGAGTTGATGATAGGTTTTCATGGTTTGATGTATGTAGAGGAAGAGTGGAATCTTTTTCTCTAGTGATCAGGCCTTGTGTGTGAGACCGGAGCTCATTCATCTCTCGGCCCCCTGGAGAGCACATGGTATTAAGGCTTCTCTGCTGGGTGATTATTTGACAGGGTTTATGGTGATTTAGGGAGATGCTGAGATCTCATCATTGCTGTGGGAAGGGAAGTGGCATGGCCACGTGAATGGGAGTCTTGCATGCACAGACTGTGGGGCACCCCAGACTATTCCAGTCCATGGCACACAGGCAGGCTTTGTCTTGGTTGTACAGGGATGGACCATGTTCCCTCACTGGCCAGGCACTGAGGAGAGGCTCCTGCAACTGCTTAGCCACAGCAGAAGCTGTGCTTCAACTATAAAGTCTTCTCTGACTAAATTTTATCTTCTTTCCAGATGGAACATTCTTTTCCATTCCTGCCCACTTCCCTTTGATTTTGGACTTTAAAATTTTATTCTAAGAAAGTATCCTTTCCCATCACACACAAAACCGTAATTTGGTAGAGCTAAGAACAGCTTAAAGCTCTTCTCGAGGCCACGGAGCTCACAGTAGATACAGGCTACATTTCATCTCGGCTGGTCTGCTGTGAAACCTGTGCTCGCTCTCCTTTACCGTGCTGCCCACCAGGGGGGGGAGAGAGAGAGAGAGAGAGAGAGTGTGTATGTGTGTGTGTACACGTACATGAGAGACTTTGGGGAGGTGAAAACCGAATGTACCATTTATGGATTGAAGTTGAAGCAAAGAGGAAACTATTGGGAAGGAAAGAAAAAATTAAGATTTTTCTGTGAAATGTAATCTCTTTAGTAAAAGAATGTAAATGAAATACATAACTTGTATTCTTCTAAAGTGAGCAAAGGTGAAATGACTCCAGGTTTTTATGGAGTGAAAAGGGTTTGGATCAGTATGAAATAAGCCTGCCCCATTCAACATCCCAAAAGAATAAACAAAGACCCATTGTGTGAATATAGGACCTGACAGAGATCAGTGGAGGGGAAGATGTTACTGAAAGCATTCCGTGTCCTGGTGTTAGTTTCCAGAGCTGGTGGTTTCCTAGGCTGTAGCTTCCTGTGGCTGTACCAGGGTGCCACAAACTGGGTGGCTTAAAACAGCAGAGATTTATTCTATTCTGGAAGCCAGAAGTCTGAGATCAAGGTGTGAGCAGGGTATCAGCAGGGTTGTACTCCCTCTGAAGGCTCTAGGGAAGAATCCTGTGCCCCTTCTAGCTTCTGGTGGTTGCCAACAATCCTTGGCTTGGCTTGTAGACACCTCTCTCTAATCTCTGCCTCTGTTGCCACACTGCTTTCTAACCCCTGTGTGCATGTATCTGTCTGAATTTCTTTTTCCTTTCTATTATAAAGGCACCAGTCATTGGATTCAGGGCCCACCCCAATCCAGTATACTTTATCTTAAGTAATTACATCTGCAAAGACCCTATTTCCAAATAAGGTCACACCCTGAGGTTCCAGGTGGACATGAATTTTTGAGAGACTGAATTCAACCTAGTACACTTTCTTCTGCAAAGCTCTGGTTAACCCAGCCTGACATTGACAAGTTCATGCAGGAATGAATGTCAGCAGTTGGTGCTGCAATTAGAAGATGGGAATTTGGCTGTTGATTTTTGATTGGGCTACAGTGGAAGGGAGACTCAGAGACAGTGTGGGTTTCCAAGGGAAAAGACGTGTTGAGTGCAATGAGGACTTCAAGTTAAATCTTTACACAGTTTTTGGTAACCACATTGGAAGAGAGTGTTCCCTGTTCCAGAAACTGAACTAGCATTTCCAGGAGGAGTAGTGAGGCCAGATTCACCTCCTACTAGAAAAGCAGCTGCACACCAGCCCACTCAGGAGCTAATGTCCTTGTGGAACTTGGTTTTCCAACCCCCAGTGGGGCCTTTACCATGCTTCACCCCTTGTCTGTGCCTGAATCCCATCCTTTCTTCCCTCTTAGGAACCTTGGCAGTCTCATGCCTTCCTGTTTTTCTTTTTTCTTTTCTTTTTTTTTTTTTTTTTTACAGATTTTATTTATTTATTTGACAGAGAGAGCACAAGCAGGGAGGAGCAGCAAGTAGAGGAGAGGGAGAAGCAGGCTCTCCACTGAAAAGGGAGCTCGACGTGGGTCTCGATCCCAGGGCCCTGGGGTCATGACCTGAGCCGAAGGCAGACGCTTAACTGACTGAGCCACCCAGGTGCCCCTGCCTTCCTGTTTTTCTTAAGATGGAATTCTAGCTTTATAGGAAGACCACTACTGACTGTACAGGTGTGTTGCAACTGTAACAGTTATGTTTTCTCAAGAATAAGTCCTAAAAAAAAAAAAAAGTTCTTATCATTTAAAGTGTTCCTGTTGCTTATAGGACCCTGTTGATGTGTGACTCCTGCTTTTGCCCCACCTTCTGCCTTTTACATACTGAACTTTCACTTGCTAGGGTTTGTCATCCTGACTGTCTCTAGACACCTGCCATTCCCTAGGCTGGGATCCTCTGCCCTCCTGCTCTTTGTGGCTAACTCAGTTTGTCCTTTGCATTTCAGTTTAGAAGGAGAGTCTACTAGAAGTCTTCCTTGTCATGCTGAGATTAGTTAGGATGCCCCTTGTTTGGGCAGCTGTGTCCACAGATGTGAGCCTCTGTGATAGCATGGGTCATGCGATACTGGACCTGTCACCTTCCCCTCCTAGATTGTAAAACACATGGATGCAGAAACCATGGCTGTTTTGTTCATCATAAGATTCTTTAGAACTTAGGCCAGTGCCTGACGAATACTGGGAACTCAATAAATGTTTGTAGAACGTATGCCTGTATGCATGCATGCTCTGACCCTACATAGAAGAGTTCAGCATCCAGGATGGTGACACTTTTCTTGTAGGCCTGCTTCTGGGTGGAGAATCGCTTACGTATCAAACACTAAACATGGCAAGAGCCAACATGTATTAGAACTGGGAACACAGGGTTCTTCTTCTAAAATACTTCCCAGTAATTAAGGGACCTAGAAGTTGATTTGGATTCCTTATATTTCACAGTTACTAGTCTAGTGCATCATCATCTGAGGTAATGCTGATCATCTTTGTTGGAGAGCCTTCTCCAGACCCTCTGACACACTTGCCTGTTCTACATGTGTGAGGAAGATTAATCATGTGGCCACTTCAGCCCATTGCCGTTGGTGGTGGTGATTTTTGGGTGAGTGTGGAGGCGTAGACATATCTTCTTTCCTGTTCTTCTTTTGTTTTTATCCTTCCCAGAAAGTGTGCCCTTGTCCCTTTGAGGGAAAAAAACTTTAACCTGTATGTTCTAACAGATCTAGTTCTGGATGGGAAGTTCGTTTGATCTCTGCTGAAATAGATTTAACCCACAAATTAAAGGGTCTGCTACTACAGAGTGGGATTATTTATATTTCATGCTTTATAGGAAGTCTTGCAGTCCTAAAATTTTAGAAAGACTGGTAGTACTTTCTAAGTTTCTTATAGTCAGATTAGTTGTATTTTCTCAGAAACAAGAAAAGAGGTAATTTTCACTTGACTATGACAAAGTAATTGTGTATTTTCAAATGACTAGATTTCCTGAGCCAGCAGTCTGAATTTCAGAGAAAACATTCAAGATGAAAAAAGAAAAAGTCGATGTCCAGAGAGGAATGGTGAAGGGATGCACCATGAGCAGGATCACGGGCACTTCTTCCCCTGGAAAAGGAGATAGAAGAACTGGAACTGGACAGTGTGCGTGTGTTTGAGCTTTGGCGGTGGGAGAGGAGGGAGCGCTCTGATGCGCTCTGTCTTCTCCCTGAGGAGTGGCGATCCGGGTGGGGGTGGGGCCGCTGCCTGGAGTCAGGGGAGAGGTGGAATCAGAGACAGGCGAAAGCGGGAAAGGCTACAGGCACTCCAGCAGCCCTCAAGGCTCAGTTGAAGTTGTTGACAGAAAAACCTTGGCAGTTTTATGATTTTCCCTGTCAGCACGCAAAGGCTGAAATTTCTGTTGGAATAGGCAATGATTTCTTCCAGGTAGGCAGCCACTTTGTCTTTTGATCATTCCCATTTGGCAAAAGCCCAGTCCTGCAGACACTCATCCATCTGCGTTCCTCACACAGCACCTGAGTGATAAGCCCATGACCACTTCTGGTGTTTCTCTGGTCACTCCACTCTCCTGCCCTGCACACAACCATTCGAGACCCTCTCTGCGTTCCCAAGCTGCCCAGCATCCACTTGCCCTCTCCTCTGCAGATGGCCTTGCTTCCTGCTCACTGAGCACCTTCCTGCGCTCTCCCACCATGTGCCGTCTCCTCTGCCACAGCGGAGGGCTGGCCTTCCCCCTCTCAGGCGGACTCTCTGATTCTCCACGGGCCTTTCCACAATTTCTTTTCTCCCCTACTCTGCCTTTCCCTTTCAGTGGAATTCTTCCCATTTCTCTTTCTTCCCTGAACTTTTCCTGGAAGCATAACTACAGTCACAAACTGCAGGGTACAGCATGATGAATGTTCACAGCTCTCAAGTAAACACTCTGTGTAAACCAGCGCCCAGCTTAGGGAGCCACGTGACCAGGACCCCCGAGCCCCCTGTGCTCCTTTCTAGGCATAGCTCCTCTGCCCTCTCTGTTCCTAAGAGCGTAGACTAACTTCGCCTGTTTTGAACTCTGTAAGTGGAATCATGCAGGATGTCCTCTTAGTGCTGGAGTGTGTCCTCTTCACTTCTCACCTGGCACTGCTTCAGTTAACCCTCTACATGTTAATGGCTCACAAATTTGCATCTTATGAAGTGCTGACATCTTTCTTACCTGAGTGCCAGTTCCTTCCATCCAGCTACTGTCCTTGACATCTGCTCTTGGATATCACAGATGTCTGAAATTGAAGTCATGTTCTTAGTCTCTAATCTGAGGTCTTTCCTAGTGTTTCCTGTCTTAATGAACGGCCCCACCTCCACCCGGTTATTCAAACAGAAAACCTAAGGGTCATCCTTGGCATTTCATCTTGTGTTCAGTCCACTAATCTGACTGATTTTTCTCTCCTAAATATGCCTTAAAATCATCCAGTTCTTTTTATCTCTAGAGCTGCTTTCGTACAGGTTACTATCCTTCCTGTCCTAGACTACTAAGGTAATCGCTAGCGTATTCACCCCCAGGTACTCCTGCTTTTCACTCACCTGTTAACTCTACTTCAGCTACAGTTTTTTATTTAAAAACACAAATGTGGGGCGCCTGGGTGGCTCAGTCGGTGAAGCGTCTGCCTTCAGCTCAGGTCATGATCCTGGAGTCCCAGGATCAAGCCCTGCATCAGGCTCCCCGCTCGGTGGGGAATCTGCTTTTCCTTCTGCTCTTCACCCCTCTCGTGCTCTCTTTCTCTCTCACATAAATAAAATCTTTTTTAAAAATTAGAAATAAAAATAAAAACACAAGTATGATGTTTCCATTTTAAAATGTACGAAAACTAACCACTTCAGTGGCTTTCCATTGCTGTTAGTATAAAGATCAAGACCTGTGAGTTCTACACCATCCTCCCCATTCTCACCATGCCCTGTGTCCCCTGTGGGCCCTTCCTCTCTTCTCATCCAGGCCTTACTCCCACAGTCCATTGTGGTTGACTGTGCTTTGGGGCGGTCTTCCCTGACCCTGCTGACCAGGTCAGCCCCGCTGCCCTCGCAGTCATGGGCTCTCAGAGCACCACCCGGCTCTGCCTCGTAGCACTTAGCATAGTGTGGGTTTTACATTTCTTGTGGATGTCTTTGATGATGTCTGCCTTCCTGCTGCAGATGGTAACTTCCACACAGGAAGGGACTAGGCGTGTTCTTGCTCACTGTTGAGGGCACACACACTCGATAAACATTTGTTGCTTGGTGCCCCGTGGAAGACAAAGAGATGAAAGAGTCTTAGATGTTCACTAAATTCACTGGTTCTCTGCGCCTCTTGCTGGTTGGGAGCCGGCCCTCAAGGGGCAGGGAAGACAACAAACAAGGAAACGCGTCCGTAAGCACACAGACTTAACTCAGGCGGCTGTGGTGGGTATGGGATGGTGAAGAAAACCCAACAGAGCCCTGGCTGAGAGAGCCTGAGGGGTAGGAGGTGAGTCAGTCTAAAGTGGTTAATGGAGCGGGGCCCTCTGAGACGCCCTCACAGCTGCGAAGACGCTGGCTCCCGGAGGATCAGGGAGACGCGTGGGCAGGGGAGCGCTTGAGGCGCTGGAGGGAGCAGGCTTGGTGAGTTTGAAGACTGGAAAGGGGGCCAGTGAGGTGGTGTGTGGTGTGCAAGAGGGTGTGGGCGTGAGATTGGGTGTCCTGCATGTGCCCCGGAGAAAGGAGCATGCACTTTAGAGAGCAGTGGAGGGTTGAAGCAGGGGTGTGGCATGGTTTTATTCATGTTTTTAAAAGATTAGGCTGACGACTTGTGGAGGCGCACGAGTCAAGCTGAGAGATGGCTGATTGAGCAGCTGTGGGCTTTGTCTGAGCTTGGCTGGGGTGGCTGTCATGGTCACGGAGGCGAGGCCAGGCAGGACAGAAATCATGGAGGAAGGCAGATATGGGGATGAGGAAGTAAGGCGGGCTTCCTGCGTGGATGCTCCTGGGATGGGAGAGTGAGGAGGGAGCCCGCTGACGCTTGGGTTTGGGGGTGCTGTTTGTGATGCAGTCCTGCACTAGACGTAGAACTTGGGAGCCGACATCAGGATGGCATTTTAGCCTGTGTGACTGGGTGAGATTACTTGAAGAGCAATTATAGACTTGCAAAGAAGGGGATCCCCCATTGGTGCCCTGCAGCACCCCAACATTTTAGAAGTCAAGCAGAAGAGGAGGAGGAGTGTCCAGTAAAGGAAACAAGGAGTGGCTAGTGAGGGAGCAGGACAGCTGGTGAGGGGCCATGATGCAAGCCCCGGAAAGTGTGTCATATGGTCCCGTCTAGTAGACGAGGGCAGTGCCCATTGGGTTTGGCAATGTGGAGGTCACAATGGCCTGGATAAAAGTGGTTTTGAGGGGAAGGGAGAGACAGAAACCTGATCGAGAGAATGTGAAGCATGAAGCTCCCAAGAAGTTTTGCTGTGAAGGAGAGAGGTATTTTGGCTGATAGGTGGGGGGTGGGGCTGTGGGAACCAAAGAAGTTTGTTTCAGGAAGGGGCATCTAGAACATGTTTGTATGGGAATGGACCAGTAGGTAGGACAAAGTTGTTGCTGGCAAAGAGAATCATTGCAGGATTTAATTTGGAGAGGCCTCAGGAAGAGCTGACTGCACACCAGTGGAAGGGCTGGCCTGTGAGGAGCAGGGCGCTTGCCTGCAGGAAGGAGGGGGAGGGTGGCAGGGAGTGTGGGTGCAGATGCAGCCAGCTGCGGGGGCGCCTGTGGGAGGATGAGGACACTGCCATCAGGCTGCTTCTGTTTTCTCAATTACCGTGGCAGGTTATCAGCCCCAAGAGAGGGAGGTGGAGGAGACACGGGAGATTTGAGGAGAAAGGAGGGTACCAGGGACATTGCTGTTATGACCGTGAAGCAGCAATTGGAAATACTGGGAAGTGTGAAATCAAAACTCTTAGAGGAGTGTGTGGAGGCCTGGTGCCCATTTGAGGTTTGTCATCATGGATTCAGTAAAGCCTGGCATCATTCAGCCGCTTGGGTGCCTGCGTGGACAGGTGGAGAACTGATTTAAGAAGGAGGGTGTTATTACAATGGTGTGACAGGGAGAAGGCGGCAAGAGAGCTAGCAGTGAGCCCGGGAGAGGAGCTCTCATGGTGGACGGAAGCGGAGTGAGCGGCTGATAGGAGAAATGGAAAGGCTAGCGCTTGTGAGTCTGTGGGTGAGGGACTACTGGAGTCGGTTAGCTGGCAGGGGACGAAGCGCCAGGTGGTCAGAGAGTGGGTGGCTTGAACGGATTTTGGAGATGGCCGTGCCGTTATTGGTGATGACAGAGCTGAGGAATGGCCTTCGCGTGGTGATGCAAGAGGAGGGTGGCCGGTGAGAAGGGTGGGGCTGCGGAGTCCGCGCCAGGAAAGGGAGTGGGAGGAAAAGGCGGACGGGGTCTGATTAGTGGGACAGAAAACCATGAAAAGCAGATTGGAGGTCCTCTGGGAACAAAGGAAAGATGCTGTCGGATTAACAGAGTCAGAAAGCTGGAAGGACAGTGTTGTGGTCAAATGATCAGGTTTCCCTGGAGACAGGTCAGCTGCTCATACGTTTGTATGCCAGCGTCCTCCTCATCTGCGTGCAGTGATGTGCCTGGGTCGTCAGGGTAGTGGTGTCCCTGCCGGCCGCTGATTTAGCTCTGCGGTTGAGAACGCCGGTGTCTGTCTTCCTCATGACTTCACATCTTCGTTACAGGGATCTCACCAGCAAAAGCTTACTGGTTTTCTTTTTGTTATGGGAAATTTTTAATAAATTCAAAAGTAGAGGGAATAACAAAATGTACCCCTGTGTCCCCTTCACCCAGGTTCAAACCCATCATCATCTGCTGTTCTTGCTTCATGTGCTCCTTTACTTCTTTACATGAGAAGCCAGTCTATTACCTGAGTGAGGTTTTGTGGGTATCAGCATCTTACTGATAATATGAGCACTTGTGCAGCCAGCATTTCAAAAAAGAAGAAAATACGTAATACAGATCTCTGTTCTTGGGTCTCCAAAGCATGCTCCTTCACATTTTGACTGACTGATAGCGTAGAAAACTTTTTTTTTTTTTGGTGATAGGCTGGTACATCTACATTATCCTGATTATTTAAAAAGGAAACAGATACAAAATTGTGTTGGGTGAAATACTCGCCTGATGTTCTAATACTAAGTAGAAATACACTTTTCAGTCCCTTCCATTCCTTTGCTTGAACTTCATTCACACAGCAGCTGCCCTGCATCTTTTAGTCCCCAGTCTTTTGAAGGCATCCCTGTCCTGTCCCCACACCAACCCTTCTCCCTCACCAGCCCCGCTCTTCTCTGTCGTCAGTGCTATCAAGACATGGTCCTCAGTCTCCCTGGCCCCGGTCTGGGGCCCACTGGCATGCCCTTCTGCAAGCTTATGTCCTCAGAAGCCTGGCTGGGGGGATTTAGTGGCCTGGCAGTGGATTTCTCTTCTTTGTCACTGGCAGCAGTCCCAGGTGTGTGCCTTTGTAGCTCCCGAGTCACAGTCTGCCTCATTCAGAATAGCGCATTAGGTGGCATCTGACTTCACAGGTATTTGCAGAGTCTGATGTTGAGGCTTTTGGCTGCTTATTCCTGTAGGAGCGTAACTGCATTTCTCTCTCCTGCCGCGTCAGGGTGATTGGTCTTGATTTTATGTCTAACCTGGACAGAGTATGACCCAGCCTTCTGGAGCGTTGGTCGCAGTTTCCTGACCTCCCCCTCTGTGGTTGAATGGCTGGCATTCCTCTGATGCCTTCCGTCATCTTGGCACCAAGCGTCCCTGTGGGATGCTGTCTGTCCATGTGTCTCAGTCATTGGCATCTCTGTTCTCCAACACCTGCCCTGTGGAGACTAGGCCCTTCTACTTTGAGTTCCTGGTTTGCAACCATAAGATTATTTTAACAAGAAATTCATGAAAAACTAGTGCACTCTTTTTTCCCAGGCAAAACAGTATTTTTTGGTGAGCTATGTAAAAGAGATAACATATGTAAAAGATGTATGTAAAAGTATGTTTAAATAATCTCTCTTTCAGAATCCACATCCATTCCTCCCAGCGCAGCATGAGCTTCTTCCAGGGCCGAGGGACTGTTACCTGTATTCTGCATCAGACTCAGGCTGAAGTTAGGGAAGAAAATCAGTGTCCTCACTCTGTCCTTCCTCTTGACGTTTGCCCCCTGCAGGTGTGACCAGAGGGGGCTCCTTCCCCCACAAGCACGTCTGCCTACAAGGAACATTAAGGCCAGTGTGGGGGCCTGTGTGCCTCCCACAGCCTTAGACTATGGTTCAGGGTTAGCACTGCCTCCCAATCTCGAATGGGGAGCACTTGCCCGGAGCGGCCCTCAAAAGGCGACAGCTCTGTCCTCTCAGCTGTGAATCCTGCACCTGCACCTCCAGATGGCCCTTCCCAGTGCCAGCACCCAGAGCTTCTATGCCCTCAGGACAGTTTCTCTGTCTTTAGGACTCATTTTTTTTACTTCTTTGCATCTCAGCATCAGGTATTTATTTGCCAATTCCTCATTTTTAGCTGTACTGAGAGGGCAGTTCTGATTTGGATGTTCCTTCATGTCACAATGTTTAGATGAGGCAAAGATTCCAGTGGATGGAAGGAAGGCCCTTTTTCATGGAAGGTGGGGATTTCAGGGGCTGAATTTAAGCAGTTTTTCTCTTAATTCTCAGCAAACTCTAAATTCCTATTTGAGCAGTTCCTCCCCACTGTAGATTGAACTTCCAGACTGCTGGCCCGCTCCTGGGGTCTCATGTGGAGAGACTGAGTGTTGTCGTGGGTACTGTCAGGAGACCTCAGGGCAAGGCTCCTTCTTCCTCAGCTCAGAAGGGTGATCCTGCAGTTCTAAAGGCTGTCCCCTTCAAAGCTCTTATGGATCATTGGATATGAGACATGTCTTGAGTGGGAGAATCTTGGGAACATGTGCATTTGCGATTTGTAGGAATTTTAGCTCATACCTGCTCCCTCGCTTTCCAGTCTTCTTTATGCGTACAGGTGTAGTGGGGCAGGTGATGTTTAGGAAAGTTTATGGCAGGGATCCTTTTTACTGCTGTTTGTCCTGTTGTTCTTTGTTTGGTCATGTGGGAAATTGGCTGGAGTTTCTCTTGCTTTATCTTCTTTTTCCTTTTCCTTTTCCTGCAGAATGTGGCTTATCCCACCCCCCATCCCCACCATGGGGTAAGACTTACAGGTATGTTTGAGCATTTTTACTTGGAAGGAATGGTGACTGATTTCCTCCTTGAGGGAAACTCTGGCGGAAGTTCATGTAGGAATTTCATGTCCCTGAGCTTTGGGGTGGAGTTTTTGCCCTCTGAGTGGAGTCAGTCTCTTCCGAGGCCAGTCTGGATGGGTGCCCTGACCCTCACTGCTTCATTTCCAAGTGAGGAAAGCCACATAGTGTCTGGGTTGGCTGCTGAGGGAGGGAGGCTGCGCCTTTGTCCTCCTGTTGTCCCTGCCCTGAAGCCATGGACTCCTCTCTCTCCAGAGACATCTGCGATGCTGTGCACATTCTTACGTGCTCAGAGTTGGTTGGAGAAGTCAGCCATTTGGGAGATCATATTTGTTTAGTTTAGTTTCATGTCTGTACAGTGTACCTGGTTCTGGGATCAGTTTGTTGTTGCAAGAGGAGCAGGAAAAGAATGTCTTCCCAGCATTAACTGATTTTTTTAAATTTATTTTTATTTTGTTATGTTAATCACCACACATTACATCATTAGTTTTTGGTGTAGTGTTCCATGATTCATTGTTTGCGTATAACACCCAGTGCTCCATGCAATACGTGCCCTCCTTAAT